TTGCCTGATTTTTTTATGTGTTCCCCCTCTATAAAGATTGATTGAGCTTGGATTGATTGGACGGGACATATTCTAAGTCTATCCCCCCCTCATCTAAGTCCACACGAGTGAGAGATGATCGGAAGAAAGATAGGGGTCAGTTGGAATGGAACCAAGAGAATGAATGTGGGGGAAATGCATGGCTGATCGAGGGTATTATGGGAAAGAGGTACTTAGGAATGGGGAGGTAAATTAGGAAGACCTTGATGAGGGGTCTGAAATAATTCTCATTTAGGACGAGGGTTGACCTGACCAGAAGGACCGGTTGATACTCTTTTATGAAAACAGGGGTCGGGTGCTGGAAACAAGATGACGCGATGGTTGCCTTCCCGGATCTATACCAGCGGCCCGGAAATGCTAGTATATGTAAAGGATGGGGTATCGGTCGTCCTCCCGGAAGATGGGACGTGGACGAACCTTGAACCAGCGTATCAAACGGCAATGCTGGAAGGGGAGGACGCGTTTCTTTGGCTATAGACAATATGGACTAATGTTAGCTTGACGAGGTTGTCGCCAAGTTTAATGGATTTGGAATTCCGAGGGACAGTGGAAACCCGGGGATGGGTCTACTTGTCGCAAGGTGGGGAAAATGCTATGGTCATAGAGCTGGCACTCAGGAATACGTCGGACGAGTTGTTTAGGAAGGCAGAAGCGGAGGTTGTGTAGGTTGCGTGTCAACGGAGGGAAATGGAAATGGAAAAGGTAGACGTGCGGGTGGAACTTGGGGATAGAGGAAGCATGAGGTGACCCGTCCGAAACATGCGATGTGTGCTGCCTCCCTTCCTAGTGGATGCGGTTTTCGGAACCCGATGCAGGCTAGTATGGATATGCCAGTCCATGACGAACCTCGGACTATACCAGTGCGCTAGGCAAGACTTCTTTCGGTTGTCGGTAGAAATGGGGCCGTTTGAGGGGAACTGGGCGGACGAGTTGGCCGAGATACTAAACTGCCTTAGCATAGACAATATCTTTGTCTCTACCTCTGTGCATTGGGGGATAGTCTATAAGAATGTGGCAATAGGGGAGACGTTTCTGGAAGGGGTGCGAGAGTTGTTATATAACGAAGAGGACGACTTCAGTGATGAAGACGAAGATGATGAGATAGAGGACTGAGACTTCTAGGGGGGGTGGGGTGAGTTAACTTAGGGAGAACGGGTGGCCTGGAATTGTGCAGGAAGGGGAAAAATGACTAGAGAGGAAAGGATGATGGAATACACCTTCAAGGGATGGAAACCAAGGCGACTCGGAGGAGGAATAGAAATGCCCATCCCGACAGAAAACGAGTGGAGGGGGACCACGTGCGGCTGGATTGGGTTTGAGGTTGCCCGAGAGTTGTCATATGTATGGATAGAACGGATTTGGAACCCGATAAGGGAAAAGGAAGATTGAGACGAGATAGCGGAAGGCAAAGGAGAATCAGTCGGGACGGTCGTTCTTTCCGACGACGGGTGGCGCTTATTTTGCACTCTGTTAGCAATGAGACAGGATCCAATGTGGCTTCTAGGGGATGCAGAGGCGTGAACCCGAAAAGAAGGCAAGAGGTTCGCCAACGAAGGATGGGACGAAGTTAGTAGCAGGGTTGTGATGGGAGGATGGAAGGAACTCAAGCCTCCCAGCCTACGAACAACGACTTAGGTGCCTGAGTTCGTAGCCGACTGGTTTGGGGGTTTTGAGCACATTTTAGAAGTAGCCGACTCCATGAAAGAAGTGCATATAGAGTGTGTCTGGGTGACTGAGGAGTTCTATAGAATCTCATTAAAATATGGGTCCTTCTACGGAGACAAGGCCGGGGAAATCCTCACCGTCCTAAGGATAGGTAAATATGATCGCCTAGAGGTAGACGCGGAGGCTTGGGACGTCATAGTCAGTTGGAAGGCAGCAGCTGCTCCATCGTACATCGATGATGTTTTTAAGCTGTTTGAGGTACTGTGGTTCGATTGAAGAGCACCGAAAAATTGAACGTCGCGGGAAGGTCGGAATATGGAGGATGCATGTGAATTAGGGTGTAACATAAGAGGGGGGCGTATACATTAGTTAGCAGGGGATGCGTGGGGGTCGAAACAAGGGGGAGATAGTAACTATCGGAAAAGGGGAAGAAGATATATACGCGTATGGGGCAGGGATAGCAGCAAGAATAGGTGTACGATAGGTAGGGAGTGCTGAAAAACTAAAGCACAAAAGGCATGGGATCTCGGTGGGTGCAGCAATCAGACTAAGGGAGCAGGAAATGAGACATTGCAAGATGGCCCGACGAATGACATTCTGGGAGGATAGGCCTCGCGGGATCCTGCCACCAAGAGCATCAGGGGGCAGGGTCGAGATAAGCCTGCCGGTAATGGACTGGGTGGGGGTAGAGCTGGTAGAAGACACGGTGTACCTAGTAGTAGAACTGGAATGGCATGCGAGAGGGGAGTTCGGGGGCATAAATTTGGACCTCCCAAGGCGCGTACATGCGACAGGATCCTTACACCTATCGGAAGAAGGATAGCAGACCTTTGGGATTGCCTTAGCCTCTGGGGATGTGCGAATGTTTGAAGGAGCATGGCAAATAACTTGGCGGGAGGGGTTTGAGTTTGCGGATCCAGAATGAGATGACGTGATGGCTGAGGTAAAAGTCGCCGCGGCGGGAAACTTTAGGTTGCCGAATGAGGTCATACGAATGAGTCTACAACCCTTTTTACTAAGACGAATGGGAGGCATAGAGCGAGTGGAACAGGCGGTAGCTGCCATAACTAGGCTAGAATTTGACGAGGCATTAATGTATCCGAGATACTACCGGGCCTTCCTAGAGATGGGGCCTTTTGAAGACGAATGAGGGCGTGAGGTGTTATGCATACTATGGGGAACAGTAAATACTAGGCTGGGGATTCCGCAAATAAGTGATGAGGCCATATGAGAAGTCATCAGGTGGGAGATAGGTCGGGGCGCAACCTACATAGATGACCTATACCGGCTGTACGAGCAGCCGGCGGAAGTTGCTGCTCCTGGGAATATGGAAGGATAGTTGGGACCAGAGAAGAAGAATGAGAGTATAAAGTGTAAGGGGATAGTGGGTGGGCATTTGCTGAGGATCGGGTGTAATCCTTTCTATGTGGGCTATGAAGGAAATCGTCGGAACAGTGATGGCAACGACGAGTGTTCGAAGGGTACGCCAACCCCGGTACCCCGGACCTCCCTGGTATAACGGCAGAGGGTGGGAAGTATCCCTACCGTCAAGTCCCGACTTCCGGGGGTTTGATACGGAATGGCGGGTCGTGACTTTGGGAAGGGACCACGCCTTTATGTTGGTAGAATGTCGGTGGACGGGAATGAGATTCAACTGACGACCTAGGGATGACTTTTTTTCCAGTTTGGAAGTTACCGGGACCATGTATCTGCCCGAGATCGGCTGACACTCGTTGGGGGTGGGGATAGCACAAGGTCACGAGTTGACACCGGTCTTTCGGAGGGCCGCCAGGACACTGACTCGAATAGGTCAATCGGTCAGGGGTAGAAGAAATGTGGATTTACTCACCAGGGTGGAAATGGGGGGTTGGAGGGAGTTCAGGGCACCTACAACTCCGCTGAGGTGCCGGGTCCCTAGATTCATGGTAGACCTCGTCTTCGGAAGCCCCGCTAGGGCGCAGGATCTGGCAGACTCGGCAATAATCTGGGTAGATCATTTCCCCTATCCGACCATCGGGACGTTTTATGACGTTGCTCTGGAGCATGGGCCGTTCTGGGGAAAACGTGCCCATGAACTCTTTGAAGTAATTAATATCCTGGTATTTGGGTTACCACGGCTAGCCTGGGCGGAGTACGAACACATAATCCGGAGGGAAATCGAGATAGGGGAGAGTTATCTAGCAGGGGTGACTCAACTATTTGAGGAGCCTACCGAACCGGAAGGGCCACGAGGGCAAGAACGGGACTAGCATCCAGGGGCGGGCCAATAGGGCAAATTAAGTATAAGTCTGCCGATGGAAATAAGGAAGGGCGTCGGACCCAGACGATCAAAACCCGCTAGCGAATAAAGAGGGGATGATAGACTCCTAATGGTTATCGTAACCCTGAAGGTCGAAAAAGGGAATACTGCTCGAGAAAATTTTCTCTAGCATGGTGCCTAACCCGGACTCCTACGCGCTGGCCCGACGGGGCGAGAACGCCCTAAACGAGCTTGTGATAAAGGAAACTAAGTCACGCCCCTTATCTCGGTAGGGCAGCAGGGTCAGTCGTGGCCCCTCCTTAGGAAAACAATCAGGAAACGAAAATGGGGAGGAGGCTATATTTCGAGTGAAGGTAAGCCAACAGAGTTGGAACCTAGGGAACCTAAAATGCCTCGCGCTACGTGTGTCCTTGGGAATCCTTTGGCTTATGCAGAACTAGGTAGAATGGCAACGAAGGATGAGACGGCTAACCGTAAGAACGAAGGAGGACCAGGTTTAGGAGGCAGTGTCGTACAAAGCGAAGAGGGGCAGAAAGACAGAGAATCGATAAATCCGAATGGTACCAAAGGGAACCGGTAGGAAATCTCCTCAGGGGAAAGTTCGGGGAAAGCCGGGGGAAGCAGGCAAGGGACTCAGGAAACCGGAGGGCAGAAATAAGGATAGGACAAGCCCCCAGAATTCGGAGGGAGTTGTGTCTAAGAAAGTAAGGGTCACGGATGCGAAGCGAAAACTAGCGGAGATAGAAAAAAGGACCGCGGAGTACAAGGCAAGATTGATCGAGGAAATGATGACTGGGAATGAAGAAGACCCTCTGTAGGAAGAACCGTGCGGCGAACGGAGGACCGGCCGAGGCGGAATTGGGCAAGGGGATAAGGGTAGTGACCGTGGGGGAACACCGAGCAAAAGAAGAAAAGAGAGAGAAAACTCTTCGGGGATGGAAGCGGAGAAAGCTACGAACCCACCAGCTATAGATAGTAGGGCTAGCCGCCGGCGGTAACGCGAGGGTGTGAAGGGCTTTGGAGCGTCAGGGAAAGGGTGTTGGGATGGTTCGACCCGGAAGGAACTACAAAGACTAGGAAGGGACAGAAGGCCGACAAGGAAGGACCGGATACCAGTATGGCGGGCGAGGCCAGTAGCTCCGAGGGCGACCTTAGGAAGATAGTATCATCCCTTACACGAGCACTGAACAAAAACCAAGGCTACCTAGCGGATGCTAAGAAAAAGTTGACGTTTGACGGGGCAAACATCACGGAATTCCTAATAGATTACGAGAATCTGGCTGCGCTGTTGAAATGGACTGAAGAAGAAAAGATGGACCACCTGGGGCAAAATGTGTCTTTGAGCTTGGGGCGGGACATAATGGTCATCGTGGACGTGAGCCGGTCTTGGAAGGAGACCCGGGATGTGATGATGAGGAAATACCTGGCAGCAGAGAAGATGGCTACGGAGGCCGACTTAGTGGCAGTTCAGAGGAAGAACTTTGCAACGTACAATGACTTCCTACGGGAGTTTACCTTGGTAGCACTAAGGATCCCCTGGGTTACGGACCGAATAATGAGCAAATACTTCCTCAGACAGTTCTCCGAGTTCGACAAAGACAAAATTATGTCGGCGCAGACGAGTAAGTTCGTAAACACCAGGGATGTTGATTTTAGTACAGTAACGGATCTGGCCGAACAGACAGTAGTGACCGAGACGTTGGCCTTGCTTAAGGAAGGGGAGGTCATAGATCTGACCGATAGGACAAGTGACAAGGTAAAGAAGGGGATTGAAAGCCTGCATGAACGAGTGCACGGAGTCGACAACAAGATCGAAAGGGTGGAGAACGTGCTGCTGGTTATGCAGGCGCAAGTATCCCGACCCGCCTTTCCTCCCCAGAAATCCGTAGTTCCGCCAGGTGCAGCCAATCAAGGATTCGGGCGGAGAGATCCTGCTAACGAGCAATGCAAGTACTTGACCGCAATGGGACATTATGCGCGCGCATGTCCAAAGCTCAACCATAATATATTAAAAAGGAGATGTACCAGGTCATTAAAGGGAGAAATATTCGGACCACAGGGGGAGCGGGTGAATTGGAACTCGCCAGGGGGGATGCGGCGAACCGTTATCATGCTCAATGGGCTAGAGATAGCAGCAGTAGAAGCTGAGCCGGTAGTCGATATCATATGGGATCAACTTCGAGGCCGTGGACCGCAGATCAACTTCATTTTGGAAAACGACGGACGTGATAGGGTGAACGCAACTACTCGGTTAGGGACGGCTGGGAGAAGGATTATCCGTGACACCGTGATGGAGGAGGTTGCTGGAAGCTCCGTACCCCAGGCAGATCCTGAGGCCGGAGAACCAGAAAAAGTCTATGGGAAGGCTAGGGGAGAGGAGCCCACGGACAAAGTCACCGCTGCTAAAAAGAAGTTTAGGTATCAGATTCCGATCTTAACCATGCCAGAGATCGATGACACCCTTAGCAAATTACTAGGAACCATGGTGTCGGTGTCGTTTGAGACCATGCTGCAGGCCAACCCTAGGTTGCTCAAAGGGCTTAAACAACTGTTGACTCGGCGACGAGTAGAGATAGTTGAAAACCCCGAAGCACCGGAAGAAGAAAGGGAAGAGGAAGCCCCGCCAGAGGTCGCAAACCTTCAAAGGAGTCGCGGGGATTTGGAGGATCTGGAGAAAGCCTTTGCGGACATCCGCTTGAGCTTACCAGACCGAGAGGGTGATGAGGTCATCAGGGCACCTCCCGGAACAAAGCTCAGCTTCCATTCGCTACCCGTAGGGAAGTTGAAAATCCAAATCGGGACTCATCATACCGACGCATTAGTAGACGGGGGAGTGGAATCACTCTCATAAGGAGGGATTTTACAACGATCACGGGCTGTACGGTAAATAAGGAGGTAACAGGGAGCATCCGGGGAGCCGGTGGGGAAATTCTGTTCGCTGGTTATGTCACGAAATGCACAGTCAAGGCAGGAGTCAGGGAGTCGATCTGGTCGTTCCACCGGATGACAGTAATGGAGGAAATGGATCACGACATAATCCTCGGGAGGCCATGGTGCGCAAATGTAGAAATGATAGACATGCACTTGCACGATGGCACGTACATGGTAGATATAGAGGACCCGGTGATCGGTCGGGGTGAGCTCCTCCGACTCCTCGGGACCGGAGGAGACCCTCCGAAGGGGAAGTTGGCGATGTGGTCGCCGTCGTTCGAAGATAGCGCACGAAAAGGGGCTTTCGCGCGGATGGAAGGTATGAGAGAAAGGGTAGAAATTATGATTGAGGAGGCATTCAACAAGAAGGAATGGATCAAGATGGGCCTGCCCCAGAAGAAGAGGAGGCAGGAGGACGAAGTCTTAGGTGTCATAGTGGCAGAAAGGGAATCAGAAGTCGAACTCGGGGTCAGCCTACCCAAGCGGAAAGAAGTGTGAATGGACGTGTCGGAAGTCGCACTCAAGATCCCGGATTTGTTACAGCTCATCAAGGCCCTCAGATACCACAACGTAGGAGTGGACTCGGCAGTCTTGGCCAAATTCGAAGGAGAGGTGCAAAAGGGATATTGTCTGAATGGAAAATTAGTTAGCATTCGACCACGAGTCGTAGAGGCGACGAGGGCAATCCCGACCGTTCATTTTTTAGGAGAACGATCCCGGAAGGAAGTATTCGAAAATACAAGCCGGTAGGGAAGAAGGCGAAGCCGGTCTCAATCCTGCTAGAGACATCAAAGGAAGAGACTATGGAAAAGGAGGAGGAAGTCCTTCGAGTGATCCAAGAGAGAACAGCGATGGAAGGGCATCGGATACCAGATGAGGTAGCTGACACAATGAAGATAGGGATAGACGGATTCTTAATGGAAGAAGAAACCCGCCTGATCAAAAGCACCTGCCAGGAGTTTCACCTAGCATTTGCCTTTAGTGTCCACCAAAAGGGGCGGCTGGACGCAAAGCTGATTCCTCCAGTCAGAATTCACACGGTAGAATATGAGTGCTGGAATGACAAAGGTCCGGACTATGAATTTGGGATAGCAGGGGAAGTGACAAACCTTCTTCGAGCAAAGATGGACTCCTTCGTCGCAAAACATACGGCGTCGCCATACGCAAACCGGTGATTCGTCTTTCGGAAGCCCAACAAGATGCTAAGATGGATTCAAGATCTACAAAAGTTAAATACGGAAACCATCAGGGATGCTAGTTCGCTACCTCATGCCGATCTATTGGCAAAATCGCATGCCGGCTGGAGCATTTACTCCCTGATCGATCTATACTCAGGGTACGACCAGCTTCCATTTGATGTCCAAGACAGATCGTATACCACAATGCATAGCCCCGTAGGACAGTTGCAGATGCAGGTGACCCCTATAGGCTTCACAAACGCAGTAGCGGAAGCACAACGAAGAATGCTCGCCGTAGCCGGGGAATGTTCCTAAAGAAGTGTGACCCCTACATCGATGACAATCCAATCAAAGGCGCGCAGGAGAAGGACGAGACGGAAGTTCAGCCAGGAATCCGAAAATTTGTATGGGACCATCTACAGAACATCAAGGACTTACTCCGCCGGTTTCTAGTATACAACATCACAGTTCGCGGACCAAAGAATATTCTAGTAGTACCGGAAGTAACTATACTAGGATTTCGCTGCAGTGCTTACGATAGGAGACCAGATCCGACAAAAACAAACAAGATATCACAATGGTCAACACCCCTACGCACGACAATGGAGGTAAGAGCATTCCTAGGCGTGGTCGACTTTTGGAGGATCTTCATTAAGAACTTTGCCCAAATTGCTGAGCCTATCCAGACCATGATTAGAGAAGAAGGGGCCATGGATTGGACGGAGGAGCGAGAAGGAGCCGTCAAAACCCTCAAGGACATACTGACATCGGAGCAAGTCGCCTTGTCGGCACCCTGCTTTAATGATGAAGTGGGACGACCGTTCATCCTAGAGACGGATGGAGGACCCTTGGTCGTAGGAGGCGTACTGATTCAAAGGGATGAGGCAGGAAAGGAAAGGTCAGTTAGGTTCGAAAGTAGAACCCTGAACTCCGCAGAACGGCGGTGCTCACAATTCAAGAGGGAAGTCATGACCATCCTACAAAGCCTCAAGACCTTCCAGGCCTACCTATTGGGAGGCGGTTCATCCTTGCGATCGATCCGACGAATGTTGCGGGGGCCTTAAAGAATTATAGGCCTATAGATCCGACGGTGGAGAAATGGGTAGGATTTATCTGGCAGTTCGATTACAAAATTGAACGGATCGTGGAAATCAGAAACAAGGTCAATGGGCTGAGCCGGGTCTGCATCACTCCTGAAGGGGTGGAAGATGTGGAGCCCATAGATGCGTTTCTTGAATACGAAGGCAGAACTCTTGCAGTAGATAATGAAATGATGGGCGAAGAATGCGCGTCTGGAGAACTGTTGATCCAGACTTTGGAGAAGGGGGCACCTGCCGTAGTAGCTGAACTTAGAGAAGGGTCATTCACCACTCGAGGTTGTAAAGAGGAGAAAGATTCATGGGGAGTGACGGTAGGACCGAAGGAGGAACTAATAGCAATGGCGGTTGAGGGAGGCCGGGACGCCGTGATGAGCTTAGTGGAACCTTGGGAACGGAAGGAGTTCTGATGGATGGTAAACCAGATGCAGGAGAGAAAGGATGAGGACCAGGAAAGGAAGGAGTTTTTCTATGCCCAGATATACGAAGGGATTTTTCGGGAGATCGGGTTGTTGCTGGTAGGAAACAAACAACCCATGGAAGTCAACATTAAAGTAAGGGAGGAGGCCGAAAGGTACGTCCTAAGGGGCGGTCACCTGTTCCGAAGAGAATAAGGTGCTATGCCTAGAAGAGTTGTGTGCGGAACATCTACGCAGTTAGACGTTATCCAGGCAATGCATGATCGATTAGCAGGAGGACATCGATCGTTTAAAGGAACTCTCGCAAATATAACGCCACTTTATTATTGGCCGGTGTCGCGCGCGTCGGTTCCACACCCACACGCAAAGTAAATTTTGTGTCGGACCTCACGGTCGTGTCACGCAGGAGTCATTTCATCAAAAACATCACTCCGACCGTGTGCGCGTGCTATACCTCTCGCGGCTCCCTACGACAGGTTAGGGATCCCGCGAGGTACAACATACCTCCACCTGCGGGAGCTGTCACCATCCCTTAGGTGGGCGTATCCCTGCTGAGCTACTGACCCACGTGCGAAGGCTTTTACATGCAATCGCAGAGGTAGGTAATCCGATGACGTTTTTTCGATCGCCGTAGCATAGGCATACGCGTGGTAGAACGCCTTAAGACTGACCCGTATATCGTGCCCCGAGGTGCTAACTTCCCCGGACCGATTATCTAATCAGGTCGACTTTTCCGGACAATCTTCCACGCTTAGTTAATTATGACAATGACTCTATGTTTCCTCTGTAGACCTTATGAAAAAGCCAGAGTCAAACCCCTTTGAAATCTCCCTTTCTCAAAGAATCCTAAACAAATGACTTCCTAGCCCCGACCAGCTTATGATATCATTCACAGATATATATATATAAGTATGTATGTAAGTCAAGGAAGTTGAATGAGCGGTGGACCTCACTTTCACAATTGTTGTGTCCCGTTGTCCGAATATCCCAGATGATCCCAAATTCAGAAGACAGTTCAATGCCCAACACTTGTGCAGATGCAAGAAATCACATACACGCATACAGATGCAGACACCGAATGTGCTACAAGCGTTAATCTTTAACCCACTCATAGCAAGTCCCTCACGCCCCAAAACCTTGAAAACAATATTCCTTCCTAATCCTGACTCCTTTTACCCCGCCCTTCACATTTTCAAAGACCTCCAAGTGTGATTTGGAGAATTTAGGCATAGATACAGGGGAAGATCTTATCCGTTTCCTTTTTAGGTTTTGTCTTAGGTGTGGGTATCAAGCCATGTGGAAGTTGAGTCGGTGTTCTACCGATCTGTTATTCAATGATAACAAAATTTGTAATTCCTTACGGATTTCTTCCGTAGTCCCCTCCACGGCACAGTCCGAAAGAATCTTAACATCTCCTTTCCGATGTTGGGATCTAGAAGATCTCTTCTAGACTTGTGACCCAGAATTCGGTGTTCATCGTCCACCTATCGCCTTATTTCTACCTTATCTAACTGTCAATCCGCCACCCAGTCGGTCCAGGCAACGAACAAAGTTCATTCCCAGTCTCTTCGTCCCAGCGTTTCTACTTAGTTTTCCCTCTTTAAAGATTAATTATAAGTCTCATATCCCTAATAATCACAAGCAATACCATTCATTCACTTCAGAGAGGAATCTCATGATGAAGATCAAATCAAAATTTTCAAAGGGTGATAAGTCGCTCTGGGTCAAGATCTCACTTATCCTTCCTTACTCGAATCAGCGAGTCAGTAATGAACTGATTCAGTTGTATGGCAGCAGATATCTGGGATTGATTGATCAGGATACACTCAAACTTTTGTTAGTATCTGGCTTTGAGAGTAGATCATGGTAAGGCAGGCTTCTCGGAACCTCGCTCCTCTTACCACCTAGCATTATAGTATTATGGTGGTAAGGCAGGCTTCCCGGAGCCTCGCTCCTCTTACCACTCAGTGTACGTTAATATGGCGATAAGGCAGACTTCTTAGAGCCTCGCTTCTCTTGTCGCCTAGTATGTAATAGTATGGTGGTAAGGGAGACTTCCCGGAGCCTCGGTTCTCTTACCACCTTGTGTATATGTTAATATAGCGATAAGGTAGGCTTCTTAGAGCCTCGCTTCTCTTATCGCCCAATATATAATAATATAGTTGTAAGGCAGACTTCCCGGAGCCTCACTCGTCTTACCACCTAGTACATACGTTAATATGGCAATAAGGCATGCTTCTTAGAGCCTCGCTTTTCTTATCGCCTAATATATAATATTACGGTGGTAAGGCAGACTTCCCGGAGCCTCGCTCCTCTTACCACATAGTACATATGTTAATATGGCGATAAGGCAGACTTCTTAGAGCCTCGTTTCTCTTATCGCCTAATATATAATAATATGGTGGTAAGACAGGTTTCTCGGAGCCTCGCTCCTCTTACCACCTAGTACATACGTTAATATGACGATAAGGCAAGCTTCTTAGAGCCGCGCTTCTCTTATCGCCTAATATATAATATTACGGTGGTAAGGCAGGCTTCCCGAAGCCGCTCTCCTCTTACCACCTAGTACATACGTTAACATGGTGATAACGCAGACTTCTTACAGCCTCGCTTCTCTTATCGCCTAATATATAATAATACGGTGGTAAGGCAGGCTTCCCGTAGCCTCGCTCCTCTTACCACCTAGTACATACGTTAATATGGAGATAAGGCAGACTTCTTAGAGCCTCGCTTCTCTTATCGTCTAATATATAATAA